GGTGGTGGGGAAGAGGGAGTTTGAACAACAAATGGAGATTGTGGGAAGGATCACGCAGCACCCGAACGTCATGCCACTCCGAGCGTATTATTACTCAAAGGATGAAAAGCTCCTTGTTTATGATTACGTCCCGGGAGGCAGCTTGTCGTCACTTTTGCATGGTACGTGCTCTTTATTTTCGTTCTATAAACTCGTTAATTCTCCGTTACAATAATCTCTTTCTCTACCTTAGTTTTATACCGACTTAAAGGCTGTTGTGTGTAAGTACAGACAACTTATGTACTTGTAAGAAACCGAGCTTTCGTTAAGAAAAATCAAAGAATACAAGAGCGTACAAGCTCGAACGAATGGAGTTCAAGAATAGTTACGAAAAATGACTCCAATCTAAAAAAAAACACAAGACCAAGTGACAGAAACCAGACATTAAACCTAACCATTTCCTTAAACTCCTCAAAGAAGCTAGCTTGTCCGGGGATTTAGAAGCATCTCCTCGAACAACGAACTACCATCCCTATCCCAAGCGAGGTTCTCGAGTGATCCCAAAGAAACTAAGCGAATTGGCAATCCCATAACGAACGATCAAGGTCCTCCTCATGCCTTCTGCTGAGAATGATCGAGGAAGAATGCCTTTGAACACGATGCGAGGTCCTCCTCGTGTACTTTTTCGGTTTACAGGTGAACTTGTGTCTAGCTAAAACGGGGAGTTAATAGAAAATGCTAGTTTAGAATGATACTCGGAAAGTGTTGTATGTTTTCCTTTACGTCCCCGATGCTATTACCTAAATTCTTTCGTACTTTTCGCTCAGTTTCATTTTGAAAACAACTGTAGTGATCACAAAAGTTCGTTTTGTTGGTATTTTCGACGTCGAACGGAATACAAATTTGTTTCTAATCCTTGTGGGACGTTGAACAGTCCAGTTGGGCTAATCTATCTTTAGAAGTGTTCACAGCATATCTATGATTATGTGAGACTATTTCTTATTGCAGGAAACAGAGGAGGGGAAAGAACTCCGCTCGACTGGGACTCGAGAGTGAAGATCGCTCTTGCAACGGCGAAGGGAATTGCTCATATCCATACAGTGGGCGGTCCGAAATTCACCCATGGAAATATCAAGGCCTCAAACGTTCTCCTAACTCAAGATGTGAATGCCTGTGTTTCCGACTTTGGCCTTACTCCTCTTATGAATGTCCCAACTTCTCGAACTGCAGATTATCGTGCGCCCGAGGTGATCGAAGCTCGGAAACACACACACAAGTCAGATGTTTACAGCTTTGGTGTTCTTCTTCTCGAAATGTTGACTGGAAAAGCTCCCCTGCAATCACCACGTCGTGACGATATGGTCGATCTCCCTCGGTGGGTCCAGTCTGTTGTGAGGGAGGAATGGACAGCTGAGGTTTTCGATGTCGAGCTAATGAGGTACCAGAATATCGAAGAAGAGATGGTGCAGATGTTACAAATAGCAATGACTTGTGTAGCGAAGTTGCCCGACATGAGACCGAGCATGGACGAAGTCGTTAGAATGATCGAAGAAATCCGGCAATCTGACTCGGAGAACCGGCCATCGTCCGAAGAGAACAAATCGAAGGACTCAAATGTGCAGACCCCATGAATTCATTCATTTAGATTGTGTTTTATTTTCATTATTTGAGGAAGAATTGTGCAAATTAGGAAGGCTAAGTTCAATCATTTTCTTTCCAACATTACCCCCAGACCTTTTGGCTTCTATGCGTTCGTACTTTGTAGAGTTCATCTGATCTTTAAGTTTCTTTAGGATTGATTGAATGTGAACCGATCAAAACTGCTATCTGATTTGAATTCATTGGATCTGATACTCATCTGCGTCGCTCTCTCGTCGAGAATGCAAAGACACCCATCGATCTTTAGCCCACTCAGCTTATGACGTTTGATGTGAGACTTGAGTACAGGAGATACATAAATGAATTAGACCGTGCTCGAACCAGAGTGGTCTTGGGAACAATATGCTCTACAAGAACTTGAAATAATGCAAGTTACTATTGTTGGTGGAAGAAAGTCCCACATCGGCTAATTTAGGGAATGATCATGGATTTATAATCAAAGAATACTCTCTCTATTAGTACGAGGCTTTTGGAGAAGTCCAAACCCATCAAAGCTTATATGGACAATATCATACCATCTTATCTGCCGTCGACATTTATAATTGTTTTTTATATAAATAAATAGAAAAAATTCTAGAAGCGTCTAATATCTCTGTCATTATTTAATAATTCTGCCAAGATTCTGTCTTCTCCGTAGCTTCTCTGCTTCTCTCTTCATAAGAGCTAAACCCTTTCCCGTCGATCTACCTCCCGAGGTATTCCTCTCTCGCTCTATCTCTTCTGCAGTTAGTTCAAAGGTCGGCGAATTTCTCTCTCTTTTTGTTTTGTTTTTGGTCTTTTGAATGTTTATTAGCTGTGTTTGATTGCCTGCGTGAGCTGAAATCTTTTGTTCTGATTGAAAATTTTGGTCTATTTTGTGTTTGGAGTTCAGATTTCGCGTTTGTTTTCGAGGAATCAATGGCTTCCAAACGTATTCTTAAAGAGCTCAAGGATTTACAGAAGGATCCTCCTACGTCTTGCAGCGCTGGTATATGAACTTTCCTTCCCTCTGCTCACCTGGTTTCTTCTTGTTTTTGCTCTGAACATCTGATCTTTATTGTTCATGATTGAGCAAGTGGAATGTTTGTTTCTACTGCGGCATCCTATTTTTGGTTCTCTTCTGTGAATTTCTTACTCAAGGACTTTATTTTTGTAAAAAGAACCTCGAAATTCATATGGTTTTTGTCTTCATACGGTTTTCCTTAGGTCCTGTGGCGGAAGACATGTTTCATTGGCAAGCAACTATCATGGGACCTGCTGATTCTCCATATTCAGGAGGTGTATTCTTAGTTTCTATCCATTTCCCTCCGGACTATCCTTTCAAGCCGCCAAAGGTTAACTCCTTTCTGGTTTGAATCTTTGCATTTGTTATTGTTGTTTCTTACACTCTTATGTACTGATATGGCCCATGAATCGATTTCCTTGCTTACTCGGACAGCCTGCAATATATCGGGATTGTTTTATTGAGAGTTTTCACTGAGCTTGATGCTCTTGATTTTGATAGTTTCATGCTCACTGTCATTGTAAACCGGTCTATGATTCCCAAAAACTGAACCCTTTAAACCTCGCAGGTTGCTTTTAGGACTAAGGTGTTCCACCCAAACATTAATAGCAATGGAAGCATATGTCTGGACATTCTTAAAGAACAGTGGAGCCCTGCGCTAACTATTTCTAAGGTTTGAATTTACAGTCTCTTGAAACGAACCAACTAAACTAGTTTCTATTGATTAATGGTGTTTGCACATGTCCTCTGTTTTTTCTGTAAACTATCTGTTACTTTGTTTTACTGCCACCAATTGGCTATATGCTCTATCGTAAGAGTCATATATTTATTCTCCGTTTTCTTGGAACTGTGAAGTCTGACTGAATGGCCTTGAAATTGATATTCTGTGTGGTTTTTTTGCAATACGTAGAGATGAGATGTTCTTGTTTTCAATTTTATTGAGATCTTTGACTATTCTGAATTACAGATCCACTCTTTGATAGTTGTGTTGGTAAATTTCCCATTAGCATCGTGTTTTAGGTGGAGGCTAGGAGTATTGAGTGGGGTCTGGATCACTCTGAGGGTCATCGATTGGAGAAGGGAGCGAGTGCTAGTCATGACGTTAGGTCCCAAAGGGGGTGGATTGTGAAATCCCACATCGGTTGGGAAGGAGAACGAAACTTTCTTCATAAGGGTGTGGAAACCTCTCTTTAGCAGACACGTTTTAAAAACTTTGAGGGGAAGTCCAAAGAAGACAATATTTGCGAGCGAGGAAAGCTGAGCCCCAAAGGGGGTGGACATGAGGCAGTGTGCTAGTAAGGACTTTGAGCCCTGAAGGGGTGGATTGAGGGGTTCCACATCGATTGGAGAAGGGAACGAGTGCCAAAGAGGACACTGGGCCTTAAAGGGTGGTGGATTGTGAGATCTCACATAGGTTGGGGATGAGAACGAAACATTCTTGTGTGAAAACTTCTCTCTAGCAGATGCATTTTAAAAACTTTGAGAGAAAACCCAAAGAGGACAATATCTCCTGGCAGTGGGCTTAGGGCCTCAAACGATTCTCCTTTTGAATTGTTACATAATTTCAGAAATTCCTTGATACTTGATAATTATCCACCTTTGTTGTCAGAATGTCCCAACTCTTAGTGTTTGAATATTTTTTCATCAAGGATTTCAGCTGGTAGTAAGAAATGTTCATAGAAATATTAGCTAGAGAAAGATTCTAAGTTTATCTCGATTAGTACTTCTCCCTGTTAAGCGGTGAAATGTCATCTCTTTGAATCGATCACATGATTAGAAACCTCGGAAAGCAACCTTGCATCCTTATTGATTCAAGCGGGAAAATTTTATGCATCCTTATTGCTATGCCTTCTGTAAATTAGCTGTTTTTATATCAATCCATTTGAAGTTAGAATCTTATAGTACTTTAACTCGAACCAAATATACTTCAGGTGCTGTTGTCCATATGCTCTCTGTTAACGGATCCCAACCCCGATGATCCCCTCGTCCCTGAAATTGCTCACATGTACAAGACTGATAGAGCCAAGTATGAAGGTACTGCACGCAGCTGGACTCAAAAGTATGCTATGGGATAGTTTCTACATCTAAACCCATCTCAGCTCTTAGAAGATAGAAGATAGAAGAAGCGCCTTGAATCTTACTTCTATGAACTTGAAGGAATGAAAGCCTCTGTATTCGTAAGACTTAAAGTTTTTGTAAGGGATTCAACTTTCATTGTGAATATCGATTTGAAGAAATTATATAATGGAAGTCCTTTTAACTTATTGTCAAATGATTGGTTTTCATATTTGTTATGAGTTGGAAAGCTGTTTGATTGTCCTGTCCTGTTCCGCTTGGATCAATATGGATCCAAGGGTTGGATTATTAGGATGATGATTAAACGATGAACTTAACCAACCTTTTGATACAAATCTTAGAATGTAGGAGATATTTCACAACAGATCTTGCCAACAGAGGACTGATAAGCTTTTAACTGTTGCCAACCACTTTGGACTTTCCTTCGGGCTTCTCCTCAGTTTTAAAACGTGTTTGCTAGGGAGAGATTTCCACTCTTATAAATAAGAGTTTGTTTCCCTCTTCAACTCACGTGGGATCTCACAATCTACCTCCTTCGGGGCCCAGTGTCTTTGCTAGCACTAGTTCCTCCTTCGAGGCTCAACGTTCTTGTTGGTATTCGTTCCTCTCTTCAAACGTGGGGTCTCACATGAAAATTCATACTCCATAAGAATTTAGGCTCGATGGGAAAGCATATTATTGGGAATGAATCATTGAGTACCAATGTGTCCCTTTATTTATGAAAAGGGTCAAATATCGAAGTTGTGACAAAGAGCTTCTTTCAGTCACTACTATTATTGATCTAAATGGATCTCTTTAGCATCATTCATTCTTTTCTTCAATTCCTTCACCAAATCTCTATTATTAGTAGAATACAAATATGATTTCACTGCACAGAAGCATCTAAGCACATAATCTTTGAGTTTTACTCGTAGATCTGAGTCAATATGAGAGCCCACCCTGACTCTTTTAGCTTCTAGTGGGAAATGGGAGAAGCCAAAATATCAAGTCTTGTTGTCTCCGAATGTAAATTTCTCTCAACTTGCCTCGCTGGTGTACAGTCTCCTAACAACGTGGCCAATTCTCTTTGGAAGAAATCCCACCAAATAAACATGTATAATTTGAACATTCTTTGATTTTTTGCACTAATATTCCTATATATCTGCCTTCAATCTTCTTGCTTAGACTTGTGTTTTCCACTCCCAAGTCTTCCCTTTTCATTGTCTCTGCATATTCTTCTTCTTCTCCTTCTCCTGACTTTGGTTTCTGAAGTGAAAGGGGATTCTTGGTGGCTGATCCTTCAATCTTCTCCGTTTCTTGTTCATTTTGGTGTCTTTTGTGAAGCTAATTTCGATGATGTTCTTGCGTTTGATCCTTCTTCTTCCTTGTTTTGCTGATTTTACTGATTGATTGAGCTTCTTCATGCTTTGTGACTCTGTTCTGTATCTGCCCACTTGTGAATTCTGATCTTAACCAAAAAGCTTCTCAGACTTGTTAGAGTGAGTGTTTTTTCAGATCTAACATGTCGGCGGCGGACATGGCTTCTTTGTCGGGGGACAGAGCTAACTGCCGCCGGAAACCGGCTGCTTCCGGGGACTCTGCAAAGCTGGAGCAAAAGCTTGTAAGGATCATCGTCACAGACGCCGACGCCACCGATTCGTCCAGTGAAGATGAATTGATTTTGGGATCAAGAACGGGAGTTAGAAGACAAGTAAGAGAGATCACAATTAATCGTTACTCTGTTCTTGATGGTTCTTCAGCAGAGTCCCCTGTTTCGGAGATCAGCAAGAAGCGGAATCGTAGATCACGTAGGTCCAAATCATCTTGCCGGAAGAAGTTCAGAGGAGTCAGACAGAGGGCTTGGGGCCGTTGGGCGGCGGAAATCCGGGATCCGATTCGCCGAAAGCGGATATGGCTTGGAACCTTTGATACGGCGGAAGAGGCGGCGGCGGTTTACGACCGAGCTGCTTTGGAACTCCAGGGCCCAAACGCCATAACGAACTTCTCCAGTGATGGGGCAGTTACAACGGCGGCCGACGGGGGTAACAAGCAGGAGGACGGCTTAGACTCGCCCAAAACGACGGCGGTTTGGTCGCCGGCGTCAGTACTCTATTACGACGGCGTGTTTACTCCGATAGATGAGATGCTTTATTGTGGAGAGATCGATGAATTCGAATTTGCCATGGCGACGGCTAGCTTGCCGGCGGCGCGGAGGCAGTACGGCGGCGAAGAAGATTTCGGGGAGTTGGAGCTGGACTTGGACTATTTCTTGGTTGACGTCATTTACTAAGTGGGGAAGGTTCCGAACAGCATGGAATGTCCATTAATATTCAACGAGGTTGCGAATTAAATAATAAAATGATGATAAATCTATTATATTAAAAATTAGGTGAAATTTGTGATGTGGCTGAAATTAATTATAAATAACAAGTTTAGGGAGTGTGATAAGGAAAATTATCCTTTTTTCCTTCTTTTTTTTTTCTTTTTCTTTTTAGTTCAAACAAAGTTTTAAATTCAAAATAGGCAATAATTACTTTTTAAGTTTAAATTCACAACGGTCTCGGACGTAAAGTAAAAGCTTGAGCTTGAGATGCTTGAAGTCCTGGCTAGAAAAAAATTGATCAAAGTTAGAATCCATGATTTACTCCCTAAAAAACCTGTTTAATGGCAGAAATGAAACAAATGATAATTGAATCAACAAATAAACGAACAATCAGGCCAGAAGAAAAGAAGAAATCGATCACCTTTTCCTCTCCGAGTTCACAAAGAAAGAAGTTTGAACATTATAAGATATCGTCTTGCTCTTGTGAATATTGATCATCAATGGCAAAAGCCGTTGAAATCCTCATTTTTGTCCATAAGCTCTCCATGTATAAGAATTACAAATGTTTTTTAATATATTGGTGAAAATAATTACCTTTATTTTTTGAGAGGGAAACAACCGTTAGAAACCGTGGCTGATACCCTGTAAACTGAGGAGCAAAAAGAGGATTCCACCCAAGGAGGGTTCATGTCGATTAGCTAGTTGGTGAGGCAAAAGATTAACAAAGCGATGATCAGTAGCTGATTCGAGAGAATGATTAACCATACTGGGACTGAGACATGACTCAGACTCCTATGAGAGACAGCAGTGGAGAATTTTTTGCCATAAGCGAAAGCCTGACGAAACAATACCACGTGGAGGTAAAAGGCACATGGGTCGTGAACTTCTTTGTTATTAAATGATTCGTAAATAAACATAGTGATAATCACTATCTAGTAAAGAGAATTTGAATTTTGAAAGTGACATATTTTAATGCATAAAAAGTACTATGCCCTAAAGAAATTAAATAGCGTGAACTCTTACAAGGGAAGGAGAGAGAGAGAGAGAGAGGTGTGGTGACACGAAATAAAGGTATTGGGGATTGAATAATTGAATATTAAAAAGAGTGGAAAATGGGTTAGTTAATACGCCGAAGGCAAAACTATGGGAGTGGATTTGGTGGGTCCATTGTTTGTTTACCAAACAGATTTAAAGGGACCAATAATTCCAAAACTAAGGACCCAAATTGCCCAATGCCTTTTAATCTCAATAGCCGCCTATCACTGTTCACTTCCCTTTATAATTGGCTGCTTAGAGCCTCTAAATGAGAAGAAACAATTATCAATCACAAAATATGTATGTTCTTCTAAAAATTACATTATGAGCTTCTTTTTTTTTAGAAATTTCAAAATAACTATCTAAGCACGAATCTGATAGAATATCTAATGAAAACTGATGTTGGTGCGGGAGTGTCGGTGTCCGGGTCTCAATTTTTTATTTTAAGTCACTCTTATACAATTTCATATGATTTTTTTGGCTCCTAAGTTTTAATAGTTATGGTAGCCAAAATTGTGAGAACAAACATGAAGGAAATAATATTCACATCGAATCTAAGACACAAGACTCTTAAATTAAACTCATTTTGAATGGATGAAAAAGTACTTTAAAAGAAATCAAAGTATATAATATGGTATACAAGAAAAATCAAGGGCCTATATAATCCATTATAATCCATTACACAGATTATAAACTATTGGTGGGGGCTATTATTTTGAATGATCTTAATCAGTACCTCTTTTATTGCGCTTCCAGTTTAACTGCAGAATCAAGCGCATCAATGGTATTATTTTGCTGGCTCCACAGCTGCGCATATCTTCCTACCTTTGACAAGAGAACTTCATGGGGTCCTTGTTCAACCACCTTCCCGTTCTCTAAAACTATAATCTGCAGATTACAGAGAGTTTTCACTAATAAGGGATTGCCGACAAATTCGTATAATTTTGGTTAATGAAGGATTTGTAACAAATAATGTCATATTCGTTGGGGTTGACAAGTCTTGTCACAATCGCACTTTGATGGCAGCGGACTTGCGATTGTGCGGCACTTACTTCTCAGCAACAAGTGAGTTAAGTCTATTCGTTCTTACGTTGCATATGGCCAAGCGACGTAAGCTCGAGCCTTTGGCCTCGATTCAGGAAGAAAGTTTTAGAGAACGAGGGCAGAGAGATTTCGAAAGAGAATTTTGAAAGCAAGATTTGAGAAATTGAAATTGGTGTTATATGGGAAGGTAAGCAAAAGGCAACAACAACGGCTTACTGCATACATATAACTATCGGGTAGGGAGAAGTTGACAAGGTTGACATTACTTTTCAAAGGCTTAAAAATGTTTTAAGAACTTGAAAAACCGTTCCAATCAGGCTCCAAAAGTGAGAAGTTAAATTTTCGGTTGAGAGGAATGGAAGTTCAACAGTTCTGAAGATTCCATATGCAATTGTTCAAGAAGAAATTGCGTTAAACAAATGCAGCTACTAACCTCATCACACTGCATGGCAGTAGTAAGCCTATGAGCAATGAAGATCGAGGTTCTATTATTTGCAAGCGACTTCAAAGCATTCAAAATTTCAGCCTCCGTTGTGCTGTCGAGTGCACTAGTAGCCTCATCACATAGCCTGAGAATAAAAGGTTGACATTACATGTCATAAGTATAAAGGAAAGGAGACAGATTACATGTTACAAATATAAAGCTGATGTGGAACCTATTTTTATTAAAAAAAAATTTTTTTTGCTGTCGCCGTCTCAGTCAAGGCCGACGGGCGAGGGCAACCCCTCTGCCATTAATGGTGAAAGAAGAGATGGAAGGGGGAGAGAAAGAAAAGAAAAAAGATAAGATAAATGTTTTATTTTAATAACTAAAATTTAATAAAAATAGGTGTCACGTCAGCTTTCATATAGAAATTAACGGAAAAACTGACAAAGGGACCAAAATGTAACTAGATGCAAACATCATAGATAAAATTGATGAGTTTGAAAACTCCGGGACCCAAATATAAGCTAACCTAAACCTTAGAGACCAGAGACCAAAAGTGTAATATTTCCTATAACCAATAAACATCTTACAAATCACTTTGTAATAAAAGTATAACTAAGACCCACAAAGAAAAAAAAAAAAAAAAAACAGCATGCTTTCAGCAAAAACAGTACGTGCAGCTACTTCATTTCACTAGTATATATATTTTTCCCATTAAGACGGAATATAAAACCATGTAATGAAAGGAGAAATAGTTTTTTTAATTAGTTGCAGATTAGCACAAAAAGGAAAGAAGAATGGATCCTTACAGAATAGAAGGTGCTTTCAAGAATGCTCGAGCTAAAGCCACTCTTTGCTTCTCGCCACCACTTAACTGCAGAGACATCACAACCAATTGAAGATCAGGAACTGTGTGAAAGCTTTAATCAGAAGGAAAAAAGAGGGTTGGGAGCTCTTGTGGCCAAAATGTTACGGATGGAACATTCTACACGTGAAGGAAAATTTTAGTAAAGATTTTTTTTGTTTACTATGAAGCATGAATACGAGACACGACAAGACACAGATATGACAACATGTCAATTTCTTAAAAAGTAAGACATGGACATGTTGGGAACATGTTTTTTTTAATATAAAATGTGTCTATATTTACTTCTTTATAGATAGAGCATGTAAATTTAGCATAAAAATAAAATAGACTTCACTAAAACATTCGAAGTTAAGTCCAACTAATAATATTTGAAATCTTCAAAGATAAAAAGATTAGTTCAGTATGACTAGAGGGTGAAGATGTTATCCTAATACTTTAGGATTCACCAATATATAAAGATTCAATCTATAAGAGAATGTCAATTTTTTTCCTAATTTTTAGGTATAAATATTTCCTAGAGTCGTGCACAAGCCGTGTTTTCTAGCCATATCAGAGTCATGTTCGAAACTGGAAAAGAAAAATTCTTTCATATACGTTTTTTAACGTGTCAGACACATGTTTTAAGTGTATCCGGATGTAGACACTTTTGTGCTTCGTAGTTTGTTTAGTTTATAACAGCATGCAACCATATACATCTGTGAATTGCACATATTTAAAGCAAGAGAAATCAAGTTAAACATTAAAAAATTCAGTGCTCTTCTGGTACCGAAGGGTGCATAGATACTACCCATTAAAATACATGAATGCAATACATTCTGTATTTGTCAACAGCAATAAGATCTCACCTTGAGCCCCCTTTCACCCACAACTGTAGAATATTTGTCAGGAAAGTTCATGATAGTATCATGAATAGCAGCACGTTGAGCTGCATCATAAACCTGAGGGGAAAAGCTATAAGAGAAGTGTCTCACAGGTGAGAATATGAAAATGTCATACAACTTCAGGATATACCTCCTCCTCGGTAGCTGAAAGACGACCATAATGAATGTTATGGAAAATTGTATCATTGAAAAGGACCTGTGGAGATATGCAAATCTTATAGGTTGTAGAGTAAAACTAATCATTGTAAAACCAAGGTGACAATTTTTTAGCTTACCAGATCTTGTGGCACAACACCAACAAATTTCCGTAAGCTATCAAGAGTCACATCCCTTACATCTTGACCATCTATTTTAATCTGGAAAGACATGTTAGAAGAGGAGATCAATGGCATTTACCAGCTGACACCACCATAATCCAAAAACACAAACTGTAATTATCAAAACATAATAAATAGCAGAACATGAATCCCATCGCAGGGGTGCATAATGTTAGAGACAACCAACAGAAAATAAAGATTCTCGTTCATTGAATCAGGCTCTAAGCCACTGAAGCACTTGAGATGATGCGACCTAATATTGGTAACAAATTTACGGCTCATTGAAGTAAATGAGAAATTCTTATTCTCCTCAGAACTTCAGAAGTAAATCAAGCACCAATGATTCTCCAAACAATATATTCAGTTGTTATTAGAAACTCTTCTTCAAAATGTGTAACTCTTGCGCTGCACATTTATTATTTTGTGAATAATAATAATAATGTCATAGAAAAATCATCAATCATTATTCATAACAACGTGCATTTCAGTTACATACAGCCCTATCTCGTTTTTTTTTTTTTTTTTAAATAACTTGAAAGGCTTTCCTTCCAAGCTCCAATATGCACAAACAATATGAAGCACGGGATGGATTTGTAAATTAACCAATAATAAAATAATTTTGTACAATGGAGTCGATGCATGAACGAGAATAGTTCATATTTTATCTAAGAATGCTGATAAAACTCCATTGAGTTGTAAACAAACCAAATGTCATTCCAATATCTTAAAACATAGGATGAAGGCTCTTACACTTCCTGAATGGATGTCAAAGAATCTGAAGAGCAAGCGAAGAATAGTTGACTTGCCTGTATGGAGATACCAATTTAACTACATCAATGACGCTGCAAGCATTAAGTAAAAAAAGTTATATATCAGATTTAAATTTGGTTATTAAACACGTATGGAAATTTTTTTATAAAATCAGGCTTTAGGAGAATTGGAGCCTATCTTTTAAAGGTTAGAATGCATAATGCCACATCTTTAATGAAGGTAAACTATTCACCGTTATCATAGACCGCCACCTTTTTTTAATATGTAATAAAATTGACAAAAAGCTAATGGGGTTACAAAAATCCATCCTATTTAGTACAGTATCACTAAAAGACTAGTTCCAACAGAAATTCCAAGTTCGCACCAAGTCGCTGCCATTTGCAAAATAAGATCATATAATTGTGAGTCATTTCTCTCCTTTTTCATTCAAGTTCTATTATTTCTCTCTACCCATGTGATCCATGGGAAGCTTCTGATCCTCTTCATCCATTTGGAATTCACCTGCTAAAAAGTATGAGCCACCGGCCTACCATCATAGTATGTTGGCTGATGAATATGTGTTTTTGCATGGGGTGGTCCAACCGAAGGCCTGGAGGAGGGCATCCCAAAAAAACAGTGGCAACAAAGATGTGCTCATCTGTTTCACTATTCCACTTGAAAAGAAGCAAACTATGGGGCAAGAGCAGTGGAAGAGAACCTTTTTTCTTTTCCATGTAATCCATATTATTAACTTTTCCCATAACCACCTCCCAAAGGAAGATTTTAACTCTTCTGAGATATTCACCTCTCCCGATCACGTAGATGAGGTTTTGGTGGATGGCGGGGTTTTTGGTAGCCAAAAAATGGTGGAGAGATTTGAGGAAAAGTTACATGTTGGGTCAAGGGGCCACCTGACCTCCAAGGGTCTGTACAAGGTCTAAGACTAATCCCCTCGATTTTTCTGGTCAGAATTAGCCAATATTCCAATTAATCTTTTATTTCCCTTCTAAACAAGAGATTCCGAGAGCCTGTGATGCTATCCCAAAGGGTGGCTACCGTTTTATTTGCATCATTGGAGAAAATAAGAAACCAAGGCCATACATTAGCCAAAAGCCTAGGAAAGAGAACAAAGGATTTTTCCTTTTTACTAAACCATACTATTGATGTAACATGAGAGAAGGACCGTCTCTTTCTTAGTATACTTTCCTTTCCAAAACAATTGCTAAGGGGAGGAGCTTGCTCAGCCAAAATGATTCTTACCTATTTATGGCTGAAATTGACTGATTTGTTCTCTATTTAAAAAAGATTATTAAAATTATTTATTTACAAAAATAAAATAAAATAAAAAAAGAAGAAGAACCCAACTCTGGTTTGGGCAGGAGGGAACTATACAAATCACTTTTTCAAAATTCCAAACTCTTGAGGAATTCCTTCCACTCTGGCCATTGATCATGTTCAGTGCATCATACTTTACACCTAACCGTTTCAAAGCATGCCTAGAGCAATTCATTGATGAAATGAAACCAAAATTCTTGGTCGAGAACAACAGAAAATGTCAATATATGGAATTGGCACACCCAGGGGGGAAGTGGGAAGAGAACATTGAAGATAAAAAATAGAAACTCATAAGCTGCACCATATTAGAGAAGGAAATGTCAACAACAAACAAATGTTCTTAAACAATAATCTAGCAGCATGTAAGGGTAAATAAAACCCAAAAATAGTATTCTTTACCGCTGCCACTGGTACCAACAATTGCCACACTCTTTCCAGCCGGTACAACAAATGATACCCCATTGAGAATCTTTCTTTCGGTCAGATAACTGAAGGTAATAATCTCTAGAATGAATTAAAAAGGAAAAGGCAATAATCTCTTGAAAATATTAATAAGATTAACCTAAGAGATAATTCAATTCCATCATATACAAATGTAAAATGACTAAAAATCAGACTTAACAGCATCCAATTATGAACTATGTGAGAAAAAAAACTACGGAAGGTCAGGAGTGTGAAGGAAAAGAATGAGCATACGAATCTAATGTCACCAACATAAATGATCATAAAACGAATATAAAAAAAAAAAAAAAAAAAAA